AGGAGGATTTGAGTGACTGTGTTGTTGATTACAGTACTGAAAGTATTGGATGTGATGTTTTTCTTCCACTTTCTTCTATCATTATCAATTAAATCACTCACCAATTGAGGTCCTAAAGGGCCTGGCCTAGGTCCCATTGGTTTAAAGCCTGCAATAGCTGGTATCCACGAGTCCTTCCAGATTGATATATTAATTCCCTTGTTCACATTTCAGTAGACCCCCTTAAGTAAATTCTTTCTCCTTTCTAAGATATTCCTTCATCCCCAAGATCCCTTGGCTTTGCAACTTCCCCCTCAAGAAATTTTTGATTTAATATACTTTGCCATCATCAAATTGCTCACAAGCTGTTTTCATTTGAAGCAATTCTCCAAACGGGCTACTGCTAAGATATGATATGCCCCGTTTTTTCTAAACCTTCCACCCATCAAAGTTTTTTATCTTTTTAGTCTTTCTCGGTTCCATCTATTCTCCTTATTGTTTTGCTATTTTTTTCCCTTTTTACGGGCCAAGCCTCAGCCTGCAATAGTCCCTTCCACAAAATGAAAGAGGTGCTTAATTTATTGTGGATAAGATGACTCCATTGTGAACCGGTCCCATCCAAACCCAAATTTATCATCCATTGATTTTTCTTTAAAGTGCACCTCATCCACTAATTAGTGTATTTTGTTACATTTCATTTGAATTAAATTTTTTTCTTAAGATTTTAAATTTAAATTCCTATGATTTATCGTCTTCATATATTTTAGTAACTTTTATTCCTTTTATTATTCCAATATAATATTGTGGTGATTTTTTAAATATTATTTTATCTTTATTAATCTTTTTTAATCTTAGTGAGTTGAATTATTAGATTCATATTTGTATAACTTAGTTTTATATTTTTATATTTATTAATAAATATATATTGTTTTTTTTTGTTTTAACCATTGTTATTTTGTATTGTTTTTTCAATTTATCTTATTTCTAAAATGTAATATCTTTTTATACTTGATCAACACAAGGTGTGGACTGATCCACACCACATCTTGCAAAATACCCCTTTGGGTGTAAACCGTTTCAATCAACAGAATTTGTCTACAATACAAAGTGCCTGTAAAAAGTAGTGTGGTGTGGATCCATCAACACCATAGTGGTTTACACCAAACAATTTCTCATTCACATTGTAGAATTTGCCTTAAGTGGGCCATAAGATTGGCAGACCTATACGCATAACAAATTGAGTTATTGGAGAGATTATCCAAATCGGCTCAACAACTAGCTAAAGTTTGAGAAATTCACCAAGGAAAAGAGGGAAGTCTATCCAACAAAGCTTGTATAACCAATTAAGCATCCCCTTTCAAAGTAAGGGAAGTGATTCCTAATTCACAAATTAATTAGGCATCCCCTTTCAACTATAATGTAATTGGTCTTTGGGCCTCTTTTGAAAAAAAAAAAAAACTCTAATTTTATATAGCGGTTCAACTAGGGTTTGGTAACTTCAGCCTCTCACTTCATGGGAGTGGGTACTAGGTAGCTTACCGATTCATGCTGAGGGTGGGTGGATGGGGGGTTTGGCTAAGGGTGTAAACAAAGTGAATTCGAATTGAATCAGAGCATATTTGAATTTGAATTTAATTGCATAAATACTTATTCAAATTTGATCCAATATTCATCAAATATTTAAAATACTTAACGGAATTTGATTTTATTTAAGTAATTAAAAATTTAATTCAATTCAAATTTGACTATCTGATTTGAATAAAAAATTTGTTACAGAGAAAGAGAGACAAAAAAATGAAAATAACATACCCTAATCTGACTGTGAATCAAGTTTATAGTCATGTATCGGCCTTCCTATCAGCACCTTCCCTATGTCTCTTCTCCAATAGCCTTCTAGCCTCCTCAAGTCCTCGTCCACCGTAGTTGGTGCTGCTTATGTTTCCTTGGTTGTAGTTGGTTGTTTCAATGATTGTGCCACTCCCATGAGTGGTGCCACAATAAACATATGCAGAATGTGTGTGTGTGAGAAAGAGAGAGAGTATCTTGGAACAAGGAGGGGAAGAGGGAAAGAGATTTCACAAAGCAAGAATGGTGGCTGAAAAACATGGGATTCTTGTAATTTGATACGACTTTTAACCCCTAACCTTAATTTCACTATTTGCTTTTGTTTTTTTTCTCTCACTTTGGAGAAGTGATACCATGGAACCCATAAACCAATTTCCAACTTAGATTAATAATAGTTCTTTAGTTTTCAAAAAGTATCACAAAAATACAATTGAAACACTGCAAGTCGGGTTGGATTGGTATTGAATTGAACCCTATAGGTTAGGGCAGGTTCATAAACCACATGGTATTGAGTCGGATTGAATCAAACCCATGTCATAGTCTTTCAATGGTATTTTTTGTAACACGTTTTGAAAAGTTAAGAGCTATTAATTTAAGTTGGAAATTAGTTTATGGGTTATTGGGCTGGCATCCTTATTCTTCTATGCTATATTTTTATTATGTATGGACTTTTTGAGAGAAAATGAAGTGGAAAAAGCCATATGACATTCTTAATTAGGTGTGATCATGGACCAAGTTAGGCTATGGGCCTAGTATAAGGCTTTATTAATGTAATTATTTTTAACAAAACTTAAATTAATAAAAATTAGTTTTAAAATTAATAAATATCATATAACAAAATTAAATTTATAAGATTAATATTTTTTATTATAATATTAGTAATTTATTGGATTTTTAATTAATATTTTTAAAAATTATTATTATTATTTTATTAACAATTTTGAATTAATTTTATAACTTTAGATGGATTAAAATTATAACTTTTATAGTTCTATTAGTAATAACAATCAATAATTATGCTACCTAATTAAGTTAATTAGGATTGTTTAACCACATAAATAAGTTACCTAATTAAATAGGAAACCTAAAATCTAAGCCTATTAAATAATTTATACTTATAAATGTTGTATAACATATGGAGCCATATTAGCATCAAACTAATGGACCCATATGTAGGATGGGCCTAAACTAAAAAAAGGACCTATATCTAGGGGTGCAACTTGAACGAGCCCAGCTCGAGCTTGAACCAACCCACTCTACAAATTTACATGGGTTGGGCCTGGGCCTTAATTTTTGCTCGAAGTGGGCCTAAGTTTTAGGGTTGCAAGCTAGGCTTGGGCCTAACCTAAACTTTGGATGAGCGTGGGTTGAGGTATCTAGTAACTTGAGCCCAACCTAAGCCTAACGTAACCCAAGCCTGCTTGAACCATGGTTTCCAAAACCAAACTAGAAAAACCGGGAACCGGTCAAGTCCATTTTCCCCAAAAATCGTTGATTTTGGTCAACAAACCGCTGAATCGGGCGATTAACCGTTCGAACGGTTTTGACTGTTTTTTACTTTTCAAAATTTTTTTATTTTTTTGTCAAAACGAGCCGACCATTCGGTTCAAACAGTCCGACCATTTGACTCGATAACCGAACCCCTGATCGGTTCAATCTCCGGGTCGGTTTTAAAAACCATGGCTTGAACAAATACATACATATGTGTATTATGTTTGTGTACAAATATCTTTTTCAATGTATATGTGCATTTGTTTATTAGACTCTATACATGCTCTCACTAAATTTTACTCTTAATTTAAGCCATAAAGCCAATAAAAGACAATAAAAGATGGGAATAAAAAACACACATAATTTTTTTAGGAGTTGTGTTGGGTTAAGCTCAGGTTGGCCTGGGTTGATAAATTTAGGCTTAACCTCAGGTTGGCCTAGGCTTAAACCTAAGGTTGCACCTTTAGGATTGGGCCTAGGTTGACCTACAACTCAACCCAACCCACCTGAGTTCCACCCTTAGGGATTTACCTACAACTCTGCTAAAATATAATAATTTAAATTAAACGTGGGCCTAGGTTGACATACAACTCAACCCAACCCCTATATTCAAGGGATTTTAAAAGAGGAAACTACCTATAGGTAGTAGATAAAGGTTTTTTTTTAATGAGAAAGTGGAGACCAATTTTTAGCAAACCAATGATTGGGGCATAAAAGAGAGATATTTTAGAAGAGATCTTAGGAATATGAAAAGTGGGGTAAGATTGATGACACATATTACGAGTGATGGAAATGGTAAAAGAGAGAATTAAGGAGAATGAAGGAAAGGGGATTTGGATTGATATCATATACCCCTAATCAATAAATTAGGTTTAATTGAACGAAAGTTGAAGAGTGATATCGTATATTATGATATATTTAATCAAATTAGAAATTTAATAAATCGAATCAACGTGGATTCAAATTTGATACCATAAAATAATGAGTAAAAATTAACCATTATCCTAAATCAAATTATCCCAATTTAATTCAAATCCATCAAATACAGAATACATAATAGGTTTATTGAATACAATTGACACCCCTAGGTTTGGGTCATAATTTTCCCTTAAAATTAAAAGGAAAAGCTTTTCCTAAACCATAGCATGTCTTTATTGGAGGCATAAGGATCCATTTGATTTGCAGTAGAAATGGTAAATGCAATCCCTCATAATTGGAATTGGAATGGTCTATTCCCCCACCTGTTTGGTTCAAAACAAAATCAGAAGCAGAACCAAATCCAAAATCAACTGGAATATGGTTTCTCTCTCCTAAGGGAGGGAGGAGATGGGAATGGCCATTCCCTCATCCGTAAGGGAGAAGATTTGAAAGCATGTTTAAACGCTGCTATCTGCTGATTTAGCTGCAAATATAAAAAGGAATTTATACACCTCCAAAGCCAAAAACCATCGTGAGCAAATGGCCGCAAGCGCTTGATCCTTTCAGAGATCTCAGTAATGAAAAGGCCTATCAAGCGGTACAGCAAAAACCACTTGCACATGAGCATACAGAAGTCGGTTTCTAATGTCAACCTTGCAGAGGGAGTCAGAACGTGAGAATGAGTTGAGACAACAACGCGTGGTTGGGTCATGGAAGTATTAAATATGCAGCTTTCGTTTAGCTTAGCATTTATGGGATCTAGATGGTTGACGTCGAATCTTAGACTTGGCATGGCGATTTTATTTTTGCCATCTGTTACTGGGATATATCCTTCTTTTGACCGCAAGTATGAAACCCACGTTTGTAGTACAGATCTCGATGATCCTTAACTGACCTGCATAACAGCAGACTCCCATTTCCTTCTTTCTACAAACCTTAGACCCAGTAAACACATTTCCATCCTTCACCCCAGTCTCTCCCTCCTCTGCCTCTCTAACTCCTTGACCATTTGCCAATGCTCCAGTGACAGGCAGCTTTCACCAAAGCTAGCTGACATTAAGCGGGCCATTGCCAACCACCTGTAGACAGTGAGATTGCAATTGCTCAAGAAAACCATCAAAAAATACACTATAATCTAAACAAATCAATGTGGATCCCTGTTGCAAACCTGCTGAAATCCTGGCTGCCTAAGCTCCGATTTGCTTGCCTAGCAGCAACCAGGTCATCCTCTATTGCCTGCAAACATATCTAGGACCCATGTTACACAACTTTAAAATGACAGCTCCCAGAATATGCTAGCACAGGGCTTGGACTGATCGCTATGAGATGCATCCCAAATTAATTAGTTTCAAATGACAAAACTGAGAAACAAAACACGAAGTATGCTATTAATGCATGCAAGTATCAGATGAAAAGGAAAATGCTCATCTGTGTAGACCTTTTATTCATGAAAACAATTTAGTCCAAGATACCTTGGCATCTATTCCAAGGACAACTTGTACATAGTAAAAAAATGAACGTATAGACAGCTATTATCAATCAGGTAAAATTCCAATACTTAGATTGGGTATAAGGCTGATATGAAGTATGCAACTAAACACCTACCCAATAGATCTCCTACTTTATGGACAGTCTTGATCAGCCAGAGGATTCCTCCATGCTGCAGAAGCTCTCTGCTTGACCCAATTAAGAAGCCTTTCACACAAAGATACATAAAAATGTCTCTTCTCACTGAGCAAAATAAGAAATTTTGTCAAGGAGAAGCAGAAAGCCCAGACGTAAAACTTCTTAAAGCTTTTAAGATACAGTGAAGGAAGCTTTGCAATCTTTTAGTCACCTTCGGTATCCTTGATGTAAAAGAAATGGATAGATTGCTCAAATATTTGTACTTGTGAGAAATTTGATGGTTGGTACAATTAGTAGGGGAATGCAAATAAAGGCACCCAGGTAGAAGAATTTCAACTATATCTGACCCGGGATTTGGGCTGGGCCACTTAGAAAATCTAAGTATGCAGATACATTGGAGACCATGCCCAACCATTATGATGGTTTAATCAAGATCTAGTGCCAAAAAAAAAAAAAGTTACAATTATTTGAGCAACAGAGTAATGGGCATAGAATTTGATTACTGGAGAAGAGGGAGTAACCTAGACATACCTTCTGCATTTCTGGCTCTATGGAATGTGGCATTGATCTTAGAGTAGTCAAATACCACCTCCAAGCTTGCAGCACTTCTGTACCCTTATTTTCACAAGAAGACATGGCAGAAGGCCGGAAAGGTAAGACTAAATCTGCAGGCAAGATGTTTGACTTCCCCTCAGAGAAGATTAGTATCTGGACATCACTGGTCATTTCCATTTTGTAGTACTCAAAATCATAGTCAACCTGAAATAAGCATATACTTAAATATTAGGAACTTCCAACAACCAAATGGACACTGAAACTGAGGACAGCATACCATTATACACAACCATGGGATGGATTACCCCACAAATTCACAGGTAGGATCAACAAAAAGAACATCTTAAATACCTTCTGCCACTCCATTAGATTCTTAAGCAACCTCACGTTTTCTACTCCAATGGAGTTAAGAGTCCCTGCTTTTAGTTGAGTCTCATCAATGGTTAAGTGGGTTCCTTCAGCTAGCTGCAGAACTCCAGTGACCAACCTGGCATGAAACGCAAAAAAAAAAAAAAATAAATCCTGAAGACATGGTCAATAAACTAGCATCCTCTGTTTAAAAAATGCATAAAAGAAACATATCAATATGAGCCAACTTGCCTGTCTGTTTGGTAATCTTTTCTTGGGGCAATTGAAGCACTATTAAGGTACTCCACAGTAAGAGGTATTGATCGTGTAAAAGGTAGGAGGTTCTGGATTGCAAGATTAAGCTGATTTCCAAAAATAGATGCACTTTCTTTTGTAAAACCTGTAAGGTTTAATGAGAGCTTTCCAACTGCAACAGTATCAACTCTAGCATGGACCTTCAAAAAATGAAATTACATTAGCTCCTTCCACAAATGCACATCTCAGAGAGGAGTGGTGAATGAATGATGTGATTATAGTAAAAGGAACAAGAAAAACAATCACCTTAGACAGAAGATGCAATACCATGCAGTGAGCTGCTACTCCATCATTGCCAAGAATAGCAGTAAGATGCCCTAGCAGACTTTCTCTTATCCCTCTAACCAAATGTGGTGTTGGCTGGAGGAATGAATAACAATTTTTTACATAAATGGCATGTGGAAAAAGAAGCATGAATTATCAACCAAGTCATATATTTAAGAATACAATCAGTTATTGAGTGCTGTGTGTAAAAAAGCAAATCATTTTAGGTCAAAGAAAGGATAATCACCTCAGTAATGGGAGGACTGTGAAGGAAATCATGAACTCCAAGCTTTCGATGGATAAAACAATGAAGGCGTGGTACCTGCAAATAAAATTGTAAACATGTAATTTTGATTTGACTCAGGATTATGCTAGAATTTTTGCAAGAGAATCAAACATATCAGTATTTCCTATTGGTTCCATATATTTGATAACGGCATTAATAAATTCCCTGATTCCCAGTTCACGATTTGCCAATTGATATATGAAGACATTAGCATGAACACAAAACAGGCCAAAGTAAACCTTCCACATTTACAATATGAGCATGTAAACATTTAGTAGGGAGAAAATTTTGGGTGTAAAATGCTTCATAAAACCATAAATACACATTTACAATTAACAAAACATTCCATGGTCATGCAAACTGAACATCATATGTCAAAATAACAGTCACCATCAGATGACTGCATACAGTGTCAAGGTGTAATAGCCATTAGATGCTTCAGTCACTTCACAAGGCCTTGCACTTTCTTCCTTTATAAAAATGGTAGTTCTTTCTTGAATCAACTACATATAAAACAAACATAATTACATACCCCTTGATAATGTACCCTTGTTCGCAAGACAAGCATGTAATCTGAGGATTCCCCTAAAAATATTTTTTATATGACATATAAGATCCTAGGGTTGAATTTCAGCCATAACTTTTTTTTTGCTAATGTACAATCCTGTACATTCTTTATCTACCCAAGAAAAAGTAATTAATTATGGGTGGCTTTCAGCTACAAAATACACCATAAAGTCATACTAACTCATACAAATATGACAATTCCAGCATTTATAACAATGTGGGATATTTATTTGCATAGGGTCCAAAGCAGTATACAAAACAAGATAGCTCTGATTTAAATACAATGAACAGAATAGAAACATCTATTTTCTTGGTACACTTGTTAAGAGACAGAAAACTGAGGCACAGACCTTGCTAGGAGGCAAGTGAACCAGAGCATCTTCACAAACACCATTAGAAAACTCATCGGACTCATCCATGTGAACTGCAAGCTCTGGATTAAAAGTGAAGACACCAACAAAATCAAAGACATCATTCAGCTTCAAATCAGACTCCAGCAAATCATATATCTGCAAAAACAGTTCAAAGCCAAAACTTTAGAAAAGATCCTTTGGTATGCATGAAATGAGAAGGAAGACATGATGAGATTCTAGGATTTCAAACTGTAAGGTTAGAAGTTATTGCAATTTGAAAGAAAACAAAAACTTAACGAGATTTATTTACCTTAACGAGACATGGAAGGGAACTTTGGTCAAAATCAGGAATCATGCTTAATTTAGAAGAGTTGCTGGCTGATTCTTGTGTCCAAGAAGGAAGTGTGCCTTCACACTGGTAAAGAAGTACAGCTTTATCAAGAAGAAACATGTGACGAGTTTATAACTAAAAGTAAACACCTTCATTCAATACAACACAAGGACATTTGGAGAAAGTTGAACATGTGAGAACACATGAATAAGGACCTCGTTGGGGAAATAACCATCTTAGGTGAAGTCAGTACTGTGGTAAAATCTCATTTCACATGGTTTCAGAATGCACCTTGGAAAAAAGGCATTCTTTTAAGTCGTATTGTGTTCTGGAACTGGCAAAGCTTGATTCTGGAACACAATATCTAAAAAATTTTAGAACACGCCAATTTGTCATGTTTCAATAACACCACACTTTGGTGCATTAATATAACATTGATTTGGTACATTTTGACCTAATGTACCACACCTCGATCATAAAGAACACACCATACAACCACAGTACCAAGCATCACCAACAGTGTGGTGAGTTCCAGACCTATTTGAGACAGTACAGTACAGTAGGACCCAGTAGTCTGGAATGCACCACCTATTTGAGACTATGGTACAATCCTTAACTAAAAGGCCCAACAACAAAACTTTGAAATTGTTAGGAACTTGTATACATATGCTTAAAATCATCCAATAGATGTGGACTTTCGGCACAAGAGATCTCCTATAAAAGACCATTAGTGCCAGGCCCTACTTCCCTTCATTTGTGCCAACAAGCCAGTATGTACAAAGTACATGACCATTTGTAAACTAGGCCCTTAACTGATGTGAAACATAATATTAACAAAACCAAATGACAACCCTTAATCACCATGGACATTTTTTGCCTTCTAAAATTCAATAAATGCCAATCAATTGGTTTGCGGAGGAACTTGTCCTTTACCATCTTTTTGGAGAGTGGAGGTGAACCTTGAAACTCATGCTCTGAAGCCTGTTATTAGATACAGCATGTCAGAATGAATTAATGAAAAACTGAGAATGTAACTCAAACAAAAGGGTTAAGCTTGGTGAATACAGGAGAGCCCTCTTTTCCAAATTGTCTCCAAATCTATACACATGATAGATTTAGAAGAGTTAACAAGCCAAGAGTAAGCCCTGATTGGATGATCTAAACCATCCGAGGCACCAAATTATTTGAGGGTACAAAATAATGGCAGATGACCTAGGAAACTCCCTACAGAATGGATGGAAAGAAACACCTAATCAGAACAATTTAGGGATTAAAGATCTTCAAGGTATACTAAAGAGATTTAGAACCATCTCCTGCATACTGTGCTTGGTATAAATTGGAATGGAAAGGGTGTCCACTCTTGATAGAGCACCATTAATTGATCATTACTGCAATGATTCTTTAGAGATGAAATTAGAGGTCAAGTACTAGCTCAATTCCATGAGTTATTTGTTGCAACCAATGGTTCCTGGTACACTCCCAGTTCTCATATCATTGATGTATATCCTATACCTTTGAATCCTGTGCTCATTACAAGTTGGGATGGCTGGTTTCAATGATGTCCCCTATTGATGGAGCACCATTAAGCAATCATTAATGCAGCAGTTACAGACAGATGAATTTAAAGGTCACATGGTAGCTCAATTGCATGAGCTCATTGTTGTGATATTGGAATTCTGGCTTCGCATCTATCCTACATGTCACATCCACTTCAAGAAATAAATAAATTACAAAAGAAATGAAAAGTTAGCAAGGTACTGTTGAATCCATGTGATCAACAGCTGCATCATCCTCTCTATGGCGCTTCTCTCCATGTTGGCTTGTCTGATTCTTATATCTGTTTACAACAGTTTCAGAATGAATTGCTTGGGTCCATGAATTCTGAGCTGGAACCTACAGAAGAACAGGGATGGAGAATGAAACCGGGAAATATTCAATCATCAAGCATATGATAGACATTCATAGGACAAAATTTAACTACAAAAGATAATGATGGGGGCCTGCGAATTGAGATAGGCACTCTATGCACTGTACCCATACATTTGCCTGCCAAGATATGAATCTGGACCACCATTCCCATGTGAGCAGTAAGTAACGTTGGCAAATTCTCAGAAGCTCGTGCCAAGATATCTTTTTTTTTTCTCTCTACAAATTATTACCAACATCCTTTCCCGGACATGTAAGTTAGATTTCTTGCTTGGACGCTTGTTCTTTCCAAACAATATTAACTTTTAATAATGATTTCCTAAGATTATAAAAGTTTGCTGGAATATAGCACACAAACGATAAATCAAGTAGACCATTTTACTCGCTCCCTAAGACAAGGTAGGCCGTATGAGTGTTTTATGGTGCCAGAGATCAGTACGTTCATAAAGATCCTCTCTAACAAGATATAGCTTGAAGGTTATAAGAGCTTAGTAGCTAACCGGAATGCAGTATAAAAGACGGCGTTCCCAGACTTTAACTTCAGAAGATGAACCCATAGGGAACGAAGCAACATCAGTAAACTTGTTTGTTCTCCACGTGGAGCCATCCTATAAAAGACCCCACCACCAATCCAAGTATTACTCTTACTGGCTGAAAATAAAATGCAGCAAAGGACTATACTATAGTACTATAGTCATGCATCCGAACATAGAGACAGTTACCTTGAAAGCACCAACATAGAATTCGTTGCCAAGCATGTCTTGCACCATTCCCCTAAAGCGAACCAGAGAATTGGGCTCAATCCATCTGACATTCTCGTGGTCAAGGATAGGAACCTGCGTTAATGTTTAAACCAGGTGAGATTCAACAGTAGTAGAAAGAACAGGACATAAATGCGAAATCAATACAATTCCCGACTAAAAAAATGAATATGGAGATACCATAGCATGGCAATCGCTTCGATTAGAAGGTGGGAACAACCATTTTCACGACCCCTCAAGAATAATTGTTCCATAATGCTACAAGTAAGATCTAACCAGGATCGCCTAGGTGACAGTGCTTCCCACCAATTGATCAAACCTAGCCACCTCTATTGTAGGGGAACAAAACTAATGAAGGGTTTTATAACACAGAAATTTCGAGTCTTATTTATATTTGATACAAGTCAACAGTAATATCGATCTTCACGAGATAAATTAAGCCAGGGTTTTACAGATAGTTCGAACTCATTCAAACGAACCATTTAGGGTTTCAAAACGAGATATTGATAGTTATCTCAAGAGGAAAACGAATAATAAATCAAACATATCGGATCGAAGATAGGAAAGGATATATTTGACCTTAGAAAGACCGCCCTTGTCGAAGAGAAACTCGCGAAAGAGATCGATGGCGCCCCAGTCTCTGCCATCGAAGGTTGCCGGGTCGGTGCCTGATGTCACTGCCTTCTCAAAGGTCAGTCGTACGGCTCCCAGAGGATTCGCAAGGCAATCGAAAGGTAGACCGACCATTCTCTCTGGTTTTGGTGGGGGGGGGGGGGCGGCGGTACAGTCATTGTGAAGTTAGTCGTACCTGGTGAGGCAAGAAGATGAATTCCCGCGCTGAGTGCCGAGTTCAGTTTCCCGCCAAAATTTTTGGGGTACTTGTACTGCCCATTCGTCCATTCGATACCGAAAAACTTGTTAAGAACAAAGTATCTTAATGGACATTGTATCTGATAATTCCGATAGGCATACATACGCGGATATATTAATCTAGAGATGGGAAATACTTCGTTCCAATAGTGAAATACGTACACATTTCACAAATACTTTTTTTTTTTTACTTATTTCACAAATACTTTTTTTTTACTTATTTCACAAATACATTAACAACATCAAATTTAACATTAAAATAGTTTCAAATAATGAAATATGTACATTTTAATGACATATATAAAGAAATATATTAGTGCATAAATGTCATATTATTTTATTGATAATACAACAATCATGAATCTAAAACATATATTATATAGATTTTTACAAATTAATATATGCACAGTCATTATTTTGTTATTTTCTATTTAAGAATAAGGCAAAAAAAATGCAACTATTATAATTTACTTATTATATTAGTACTTTATTTTACTATTTTTAATTTTAACATTAACTAAAAATTCAACTAAATATTATATTCTCAAATATCGGGTAAACAATGTTTTTATTTTTGTAAACAATAAATATATTATCAAAATTGTTAGATATTTCTAAGGTTTTCATAATTTTAAATTACTAAAATAATTATTCCATTATTCATTTTATATTTCTAGATTTTTCTGAAATAAAAATAATTTTATATAAATTTTGATAAGTTGATTTGATATATTTAATTTAATATTATATTCTTGAATATTTTGCAAACAATGCTTTTATTTTTGTAAATAATAAATATGTTGATATTTAATGTAAATTAAAATAATAATTAATAGTTATAAAATATATAAAAAGTAAGATACTTATCATTGCAAACTTGTAAAATTTAAGTACTAAAATAGTTATTTTATTATTAATATTTTTGTATAAACTTCTTGAGATTATAAATAATTTTTTTTGATATAAATGTGGATTTGATAGATTATTTATTCCATTAATTTATAAAATGTCATTTTTGAATATCATTCTTTTTTATTTTTAGTTGGAGTTGTTGAACATAAACATATGTATTTGCTTAGATTGCATATGGATGCGTAATCAAATAGAGAAATGTGGCATATGCACATAGTAATGATGCATAATCAAATTGATGTAGCACGATCTGTTCGCTCTTTGCTGGAAGGCAATTCGAACGTCGGACTGCTACGTGGTCAGGTCGAACTGCAAGAGAAGAAAGCTTCAAAGGTCCCATGGTACTTTACTCGGTGAGGGCACTCCGAGGCTTAAGTTAGTGTAAGAGATTTATGGAGAGCTAATAGCTTGAGAGTGCTAGTAAGAGAGCTAAATCGTGCGTACCTTGTGAGGTTGGAAGTGACGCCTTTATATAGGCAAGCTGCCGTAGGCCTCACAAAACGTGTCCAAGATCACCAACCCATCTAATCTAGAGCCTGTTCCTTACCCGAATATGGATTTCATGTAAATTGATAAGGCTTATCCAGGTTCGTCCGATTCGGGCAGGATAGAGATAAAACCTGTGGGCTTGCGACGTGATCTTGAGGAGATCGAAGACAGCTAGCTCGCTTCTAAAAAGAGGCTACGTGGCACCTTGGTAGGTCGATGAATGTGGCAAGTTGCTCGGGCTTCGGTACTAGCTAAATGACCTAAGGTGCCGGAGGTGATTTGGACTGCCAAGGTGTCTGAAGATACTAAGATGTCACCAAGTCAATGGGTCGCTCCATGTGTCATCATGTCCCTAGTCGAGCCAAATTATCCCTCGTCAAATAAGATACAATGCAACGCTTGCTAATATGGACCCATATTGGCCCAAACTTAAGGGATACTCCTTGTTTGTAGTGCATATCTGTATGCACCAATACTAATACGATACACCATAAATGTGTTTATGGATCAATTGTTGTAGAAGAGACCTATGATCAAATACTGCTACGATTGGGTAATGTTGGGATGGTAATTTTCCCCATTCCCATACCTAACTCCCCTATTCTGATGGGGTTTGGGATGGAGATTCATAAGGATCCCCAATTAGGATGAGGATGGGTAGTGAAGTCCCTACCCCACTTCCTTGCCATTCCTAGGGTAATGGGCTTGGGGGGGGGGGAGGGGATTGGTCAAGGCCCTTCTAGTATTGTGTATTTATGGCAACACAAACTTTTTCATAGTGTGATTAGGGTGTTGAAAAAAAAAAGTTTGCCATGCCATAGTCAAAATTGAAACAATCACCTTTGAGGACTACTAGTTACATTTGCCTACCTACTATTAACGATAAAGAAAATACACAAGTTACCAATTTCCATGAATGGTTGGTTATTTATGATTTGGCTCTACACATAGGCCTCATTTGTTTTTTGGGAAGTTACTTAGGTAAGTGTTTCATAGTAATTGCATTTATCCATATTCTTTTATTTTTTAGGTAAATAAGACAATGACTGTTTTATCCATAAAAGGTCATTATTAAAAGGGGCATTGTTTGTTTCATCCAAGTGTTGGCAACTTTGCCACCAGGTGGGGAAGTTGCTACTTACCCACCAAGAAGATGGGTATCATTTATTCAAGCAAGTGATACCTAGGGAAAATGAATTTTATGTAGACCCCACATAAATCTGAAAAAAGGAAACATGGGTATTATAATTAATGGAAACCAAAATCTCATTGACCAACTTTTTCCCCTCTCAAATTCAGAAAAACAAGCATGCATATAATTTGCTTTTATGGTTGCTTTGTAGTTAAGAGAAAGTGGTGAACAAAGGGTTCAACTATGATATGGAAAAGATATGATATCGGAAAAACAATTGACCAATAAATGAAATCATAAACATGGTAGCGAATTATGTGTCATTTATCAAAATTCATGGGTCGGTTTTGATTGGTCAAAATTCTCTCCATATCACATCTTTCCTATATCATAGATTTTCCCATGAACAAAACATACTTTTGTGGTTGGTACATGAGAGAAATTATACCATTATAAATGCTTCAAAATTTAATAGTTATCTTTGCAGTTTGATTCAACTTTGCACATACTATATCATGTTCAACCATTGGAACTTTAAATACAAAGGACAACCAATATATCTATTTTGTATTATTGCCTACCATTGCCTTAAATTCCAAAGATACTTCCTCTTCACTATTAACACCTCATTCAAGGTCAGCCACATAGCTTCCTCATCTTAAGTTGTTTTTTTTTTGGTTTTTTAGAAAAATAAGTTTTTTTTTTTTTTTTTTGTAACTAAAAAATAATTGTGTGTTGGATGGATATCAATTGTAGTCTCATGACTCTCGTCAAACATCAATACATTCATTGATTTTCTTTAGTTCCACAATAGTTATGAAAACTCAACCATAGCTCTTATTAGGGGTAGGCAAATGGGTAAATTCTACCTGGAACTGAATGGAATCAACCTTGAATCGATCCCACCCAATCTGCTATGGGGTAGGGTTTGGTTCCAAATTCTTGGAACCAACTTTCAACCAAATCTGTTTCATGGCCCAGGGGTTTACCCTTTACCTTTTCTAAACTAACCCAAAGAAGAGGCCTTGGTTGACCCTGATAGAACTGACCTTGGAACCAAGTTTGCCTTGAAATAAATCCCCCCCCCCCCC